CATCGAATAAAAAAACGATGGAGGAAATATCCTTTCTAAATTGCAAAGAATAATTGGAATATCTCTCTCCAGTTTCTCCATGTGTGATGCTTTTAACACTATCGAGCAAATATCATGCATGAAATTGCTTAACTCTGTAATGGAGCCCCATACAAAGTTCGGTAGAACTTCCTTGAAAGTTATTGGAATTAGTCTTTCCATCAATATGTGACAATCATGACTCTTCAAACCTGTCAACTTGCATTCATTCAAATCAACACATCTTCCGAGGTTCGAAGCATATCCATCAGGAAACCGCACAGATTTCAACCATTGACAAACAACTCGCCTCTGCTCCTTATCCAATGTATAAACTGCTTTTGGTTTTGGTCCCCTGCTGCTTGCATCCACATCTAGTGTTGGTCGATCACAAATATCTCTCATATGTTTTCTTGCGTTCAAGTTGTCTTTTATTTTTCCGGTGACATCCATCATAGTATTTATGACATTGTCGAAAACATTCTTTTCTATGTGCATGACGTCAAGATTATGATGAATAAGATGGGCCTTCCAATACGGTAGATCCCAAAATATACTGCGTTTTGTCCACTTATGTCTACTTCCGTACGCAAAAATCGTACCGTGAGGGTTCTAAACAACAGTTGGAAAGTCCTGCACCCGCTCCCAAATTTGATCGCCGGTCAACCTCAATGGTGGACGTGTTCTTTCAGTCCTATTCTTGATGAACTCTTTTTTATTCCTTCTGAAGGTATGATTTATCGGTAAAAATTGTCTGTGATACAAAATAGCGGGCTTCTTTCCATGTTTTAATCTAAATGACTTTGATCTCTCTAAACATATCGGACATCCTAAGATCCCAGTGTATTCCATCCAGATAACATTCCGTAAGTTTGGAAAGTCATTTATCGTCCAAAGAAGAAGCAGCCTTCATTACAAATGTTTGATCGGTAGAAACATCATATATAAGGACACCTTCCTCCCATAGCCGTTGTAACTCTTCAATCAATGGTTGCATATAAACATCTATTAACTTTTTCGGATTTTGCGGGCCAGGCACGATCAATGTCAAAAACATATAAGGTGTCTTCATGCACATACCAGGTGAAAGATTGTACGGTGTTAAGATAACTGGCCAACATGAATAACTTTTTCCTGATTTTTCAAATGGGGCAAATCCATCAGAGTAGAGACCTAACCTGATGTTTCGAGGCTCTATCGCAAACTCATGGTACGTTCTATCAAAATGCTTCCATGTCTCTGCATCTAAAGGATGACACATTAGATCCTCTTCTGTTTCATGATTTGCGTGCCAAGTTATGTGTTCAACTGTGGCTTGAGACGCATAAAGCCTTTGTAATCTGGGGATTAAGGGCAGATAAAACATTTGCTTGCATGGTCTACGCTTCTGATTACGACCCTGCCGCCTGTTAATCTTGTACCTAGGTTGGCTACAGAATTTGCAAGATTCTGCATTTTCATCATCTCTCCAATATAACATATAACCCCTACTACATACATCAATCCTTACAACCGGAAGACCTAAGTTATCCATTAGATTTTTCATATCGTAACAATCACTTGGCATGCTGTTATCACGAGGCATTGTTTGCCGCATTACTTCAACAAAAGAGTTGAAGCAATCTTGCGACGCATTATGCTCTGCCTTGATATTTAACAGTCTTGCTGTCACAGATAACTTAGTGTGGTTGTCACAATCTGGCCATAAAGGTTCATCTGCTGCTTTCAACACTTCCCAGAATTGATTATATGAAAAAGCTCCATTACATACATTCTCATCAAAACTCGTTACTCCCATGACTTCCAATTATGATGCATGACTAGTACCCACTTGTTCATGTGTAGGAGTAAAACTAGTACTTGCATGGTTCGAATCTGAAACAAAATTATGACCAGCTGCATCAATCACCATCTTCTCGTATGGGTTCAATTGGTCATAATAGCTACATTCTTCCCCTCCTAAAAATTGGTCACTTCTTCGATATCCTTCATCAGATATAAATGGTTCACCATGGCAAGTCCAATTATAATAATTCGGAGTAAACCCAAATCTACAAAGATGTTCTCTAACTATATCACACACATGAAATTTACCATTACTGTACTTTCTACACGGACACCTTAACTTATTTCCATCCATGAACTCATATTTACTACTAGCAAAGTCTAAAAATAGTTCCAACCCAGTCCGAAACTCATCGGTCAATCCTTGACGTCTAGGTAAGTTCTTATTATACATCCAAGCCCTGTTTCTTTGCATTGTGTCTGTATTAAAATAAAAAAATATCGTAAAATATTTAAAATATCATATCTACCGTTGTTAATTAAAAAAAATTTATGAAAATTAAAATTTTGTTTTTCACGCAACAATTACTACGAAATTTTAAAAAATGAAAAAATTACCATGTAAAGAAGACTTACCCAGATATTTGACTGAAATCTTGGTAGCAGAAAGTGGTCAATTTGAAGAGAATTGCAAAGTTCACTTGGATTGCGAGACCTTCAATTGGACACGTACCTAAATAAAAGCAAAATCACTTAACATTCATTTTTTAAAATTTTTTTATTTTTTTCGAATTTTTTTAAAAAAAAGTCTTATAATTTTCTCCGGTCGCCGCGACCGGCTGACGCCGGCGAGGCCGCTCGGCCTCGCCGGCCATGGGTCGACGCCGGTCGGCCTCGCCCAGATCTGGGGGAGGCTACCACGGCGGCGAGGTCGACCGGCACCTTGCCCAGATTTGGGGGAGGCCGCCACGGCGGCGAGGTCGACCGGCACCTCGCCCTTTCGTCCGTCGCAAATTGGTGGCCGGTCGCCGGTCGGCGACCGGCGACCAATTTACAACAAAAACAGAAAATAATGTCAATAAAAAAAAAAATTCGCATCTGACGATGAATCAGAAGGACAGGACCATATTAGTTGCATGTTTAAACGGACTTAATTAGCTACGATACTTACCTGTGGAAAAGCTTTACCGAGATTGATTTTTGTGCGCACGGATTATTAAGAGAAATGATAGAAGGAGAAGGTGAGAGAAAAGCGGGCGACCTGACGAATCACTACTGAAAGAGAGAGAGAGAGAAATTGACGGGTGGGATGGGGTGCATATCACAAAATTAATTTTCCGGTACAAATTTGCGACAATCCAATTTCGTCGCAAAATCTATCGCAATTTGCGACGGATAAAATATTCGTTGCGACGGAAAATCAATTCGTCGCAAAATTAGTCGCAAATTTGCGACGGAAAATTAGTCGTAGCAAATTTGCGACGGAAAAAAATTCCGTCGCAAAGTTTGTCGCAAATTTGCGACGAAAATTCCGTCGCAAATTTCCGTCGCAAAAAACATGTTTTTTTGTAGTGATTCTAAAACTTGTCACGAAAGTATAATTGAGTCCTAAAACTTTTAAAAAGTGCAAACAAGTCCTAAAACTTATCAAGAAAGTGCACTTGAATCCTAAAACTTTAAAAAAGTGCAAACAAGTCCTAAAACTTGTCACGAAAATGCAAATAAGTCATAAAACTTGTCAAATTGGTTCAATCAAGTCCTTCCATTAATTGTACTTTTTGAAAGTTTTAGGACTTGTTTGCACTTTTGTGATAAGTTTTAGGACTTGTTTACACTTTTGTGACAAGTTTTAGAACTTATTTGCACTTTTTAAAAGTTTTAGGACTCAAGTGCACTTTCATGACAAGTTTTAGGACTTATTTGCACTTTTTGAAAGTTTTAGGACTCAATTGCATTTTTGTGATAAGTTTTAGGACTTCTAGTGCACTTATCCCTTTTATTTAGGCTGGTGCTTGGCGGTGGACTAGACTAGAGCAGTATGACAAAACACAACCACTAATGGACGTTTTTGCTTAGCATCAATTGAACTCATTTGGCGGTGCATCATGAGCTTGGTAGTCTTGAGCTTATCAGTTGCATCTCTGTATTTCATACTGTGTCATCTGAGCTTGTCTGTTGTGCCTCTGTGTTCGTATTGTGTTATGTCCTAGTTAAAGTTTCTCACTTCTAAAACCACAAATCAACTAAGCCATAGGGTTACAAGTTAGGGTGCTCAAAAGGATACCCCAAGAAGTCGATAAGTACACGTGCTATGTATCTTCTTGTCCTGATTTTTGGCATGGTGGTTGTGTTATACTATCATGTCCATGGAAAATTTAAATGGGGACTTCACAAAATATGGTTTTTGCAACTCTGAAATCAATGTGCCCAGAGTAACAAGACTATTTTGGCTGATGCAAAGTTGGAAGTCTTAGAAGCCGTCAAAGCCACAAGCTCATAAGACGCTTTCTAAAAGCCGGCTTCGAATAGAATCGTCGAACCCTCGTGTTGGCGCAGCTAGTCGGACAAGATCCAGCTTAGGAGGTTATCCATTCAAATTCCATTAACTGCATGCAAACTACTTTAGATTAGGGCCACTCACATAGATCAAAAGCCCGGATTTAGCCAGCTCATGAAACTTACAGAGGGTTCCATAAACTTCCAAATAACCGGTCTTTGCACTCGGATTCCTAGATTATAAAAAAACGTGAAAAAAAAAGAAGAAGAAGAGAAAAGAATAGCAACCTATATAAGGAATTGCCAAACATTTTGAAGGAGTTAAAACGCAGGGCAAGCCTTTGGCCCACACTTTTCCTGGCCTCTGTCCCAAATGCTTATGTTCTTCCTAAAAGTTAAGAGTTCATGTTGCATCATTTCGATCCATGCGAGTCTAAGCTAAGCCCGTTTAAAACATAATTCTGTGGATTTCTCGTTTATATATCGGGCTTAATGGGCCTGTTGGCCTAGACCGGGTCAACCCGATACCATCTGCAAAGATCCGTTGACCTCCGTCTACATCACCATTGTCAGTCGTCTTCGAAGTTTCCGCCAACTGAAAGCCCCATGAAGGGTGGGACATGTCACAGTGACGGGTGAGCTCCTTTGATCCTTTCGTTTGTTTCCTGCCATAAATGAGGGACAGCCCTTGTTCTTCTTCGTTGACTCGATGACCTCTCCCTAAAGAAGCTTCTGTTTGGCCAGGTCCAGTCCTCCCCTACCTCCGTCTACTTTCGTACTCTGTGACTCTGTCTCTGCCTGAGCCTGAGACCGCCCTGTTCTTTGTCCGGTCTTCGTAGTATACAAAGGCGTCCTTCGTTGTTCTTGGTGTGTTGCGTTCAAGCTCTTTGGCTCGCGAGTTCTTCTTCCTCTGTTTTTTCTTTCTTTTTTTGCAGAGGTGATTGAGCTTCGCGGCCATGGCGTCTCAAGAGCATCTGGAGAAGCTGCAAGCCCGTAAGAGTTACAGGAATTTCTGGCACGCTGACCTCATGCGTACCATTCCAGTTGACACTCCCTGTATGGTTCCATTCTCTGCGTCTCTCTGATCACATACGTGGTCTTTTCAGAAAAGGAAACGAATGTAATGCGTTATCTGATTTTCTTCCTTGTCTCTGATGGGGTTGCTCTGTTTCTCGTGGCATGTGATCACAGACTGCTGCTTTGCCTTTTGGTGGTAAGTTGTTCTCAATTTGTTGCTTTGAGATGATTCTTTAAATTTTTACTGAAATTGACTTTGTTTCAGTGTTTCCGAGAAGTGTAGCTTTATAATTAGAATGTTGTTAGGGCTACGACATCATGGTCCATCAGAAAGCGGATGTTATGATGAAAATTTCACAGAAACATGGATTTTCAGTAGAAAAATGGGAAAACGTACGGTCTACATGTTCCCTTCCGAACTATGGATTGAGCTAAGGTCATTTGATGGCGTTTTTCTGCAACTTTTCTTCAACAATTAAATAAAGAGAGAGGAGAGAGAGTGAAGATAATCATTCTGAGTCATGTCCATTTATTCAGTAACCACACTTTCACCAAAAAGCACATTTCGCGGTGACCCCGCAACCCAAGCATTTTCGGGAAGTTTGTCCATTCCAGAACATGCTTCCACAAAAGCATGTAACTTCATATAGACAAGGTTCTTACGTGGTGTCGGACGATGTCGAAATATGGTAGATCTTAGTGGTTCTATTCCTTTACCTTTCGCACAAATGACGCAATATTATACTCTGGTTCTAACTTCTAAGGATCCGTAGGGTACTAACTTCAAGAGGAACATGTTCATCATCAGCGTCAATGCATAACTGAGATAACTTTGAACTGATGGAACTTCACAGTTATCGCTAGTACTTATCCAAGAGATCTCCAATTAAATATCAACACCCCAATGGAAACTATTTCTGGGTTCGTGTATTTCGTGTAAATCTTTATTCCTAGTGTTATCCCGGAGGAAAACATATCCAAACCGTGACACATCATAGAACCACATCTAGGAGAGTTCTGCTAAGACATTCTCTGACTGTAGAATTGCTGGATTATCTCATGCTGGTGTTAGCAGTGATCAATGCGTGCGATAGAGGTTTTGGCAGCTGACAGTGGGTAATTGAAAGCATTTCTTGTAGCCAATTGCAACCGATGTTTAACGATCTTTAACATGAATTCGACATTTTACAGTCATCTTTGTAGCTTCATTATGCTTAAATTGTGGACTGCATTATGCGATGAACAGTTCTGCTGTCGACATCCAGCTAAATTTTAAATTTTTTTTCTCTGTCGCAGTGGACCATGTGCTTCGTACTTGCTCCGGAAAAGAGCCCTTTACAATGACATGTCCAGGTAATGGATCTTTGTGATTCACGTCATTCTCTCATACTCACTTCCACGATCTTCTGGTGAAAATATGATCTTTTGTTCCGTCTTTAGATATGTGTGTTGCGCTGGTTACATGCCCTGCAGTGGAAGGTGCGGAGAAAGTCGGCATCCCGAGCTATGCCTCGCCACTGAGGTACCATTCAAACTTTTGGGGGTTCTGATTTCTTCCCCTGTTTTTGTCATGTCAATCCCTGATTCCATCCCATCTCAAGTGCTCGCAATCACCGATTGTGTTAAGATCTCACAACTTCACTTGTTGTAAAACCAATGGCGATGATATTTTTCTAATTAAGTAATTGCTGATCTCGCTGGTTTTCTCATCTCTTCTAGTTGATATCCATGGTGAACAGCTTATCGCATATGTCATGGAAAATTTCATTTTCGATTTTGTGAATTCCTTCATTGTATCAACTCCGGATGGCCAGGTCTGCTGCTGCTTTGGAAATTCAGTGGCCTCGACACGCTTTCTCTTGCAAGATGAGTTCAACATACAGACCACTCAATGCGACAATTGTATCATCGTAAGCTCTAACCTGTGCACAATCATAAAAATGGAAAGTAAATTCATTATGTAATCTAGCCCTTTTGATCATTAGCGTGTTCTGATGATGCTCAGGCCACCATGATCGTCCTCCAACAAGTTGCCTGCGTATTTTCAATCATAGCAATGATATGCGGAAACAGCGAGATTCGACAGGCTTCACAGATACTTAGTTGTTTGGCCGACATGGTTTACTGCACGTAAGTTCTACCATCTACTATTCCCGAACATTACTGAAACTAATTTAACCACTTAGTCCGTGGCTTATGCCGATTTTCCCGTTCTCTTCTCGCAGGGTTTGCGCGTGTATGCAGGTATGTCGCGTGAATCGCGATGCAACCTCACATCGTTACTGAACATGCATTTTGCCATTTGTGTTATTAACCTTCTGGTTGCTAACCGAGACTGCGAGTGCTTGCAGACTCAACACAAGATAGAAATGGACAAGCGAGACGGCTTGATCAACGATGGACCAATGACCATGCCTGGATTTCAGCAAATGTCGCGCCTCGACCAGCGGGTGCCTCCCTCGGCCGGTTACTAGCCGCCTCAGCCTGCGTACCGACACCCCATCCCAACTCCAGCTACTCGAGATAAAACCTTTCTCAGCTGTCCCCTGATGCAGATGATGCAATCAAAGTTATCTTCCTCACAATTTCAGATATCAAATTTAGCTTCGTATTCGTGTGGGAGCCATCGCTCTTTTTCACTTGGATTTGTATACGGACATTCTTGATTCGTGTTCTACTGTAGGGAAGAACAATGTTATACGGTTTGTATTCTCTCAGGCGCGGTCCGTTTCTTTCAAAGAGATGGCTGTAATGGGAATAGCTCTTGCTGTGTGTGCCAATGAAATACAAGTGCATCTCTTCGTGTCTTTAACAACAAACTTGAATAGAAAGCATGGGGATGACAGAAATCGATCGTTTCCTGAGGATATCGGTAAATTTTTAATCGATGTCGATAAGTGTCGACAATCTGATGGAAGAAAAATGACCGATGACTATTTTTTCAGAAGACTTTATAGAATCCTATCAATATTTTTATGAAATTATCACATTGCTTTTACAATTTGCAAATCGGTTGAACTTATTAATGCTTCGAATTTACCAACTCTTATTAGGGGTGATCGGTTCTTGAGTGGACAGGTTCGAGACCTGGAACCTATCTTGTTAAAACCCGTTCCTACTTTTTGGAACATGGAACCTACTCTATTTGTTTTGGATTAGATCCTGGAACTTAACCTATTTGTCCAGTTCATTTCAGGGTAAAGAACCGGTTTCTTTTTTTGTTCTTCATGTAACGAAAAGACAAATAGCAGTTATAGTAAAATAGCATGAGCAATAAAGCAATTCAAAGTAAAATATCGATACAAAACAGCAAAAAATATAAAATAATAAGGAAGTTAATCTCATTTAAGAAAAATAAATCATCTTCTTTCAACTTCATAATAACATGTTTGAACCGGTTCCCGAGTGGGTAGGTGCATTCAGCACTCAGAACTTGAAATCTACCCGTATAGTACAGGTTCCAAAATTTGGAATCGAGAACCGAATGTTTCCGTTGGAACTGGGAATCAAGCTTGTTTCCATGGGCGGTTGGTCTAGTTTCAGGGTAGAACTGAATCAGTTGCACAGCCTTGACTTTTTTATAAACTAACTTTTGTCAAATCAAATTATCAACTAATTTTGGATTATTAACTCCCACTTGAGTTACTTACCAACGTTTAAATATTTTTTTAAATATGCCAACTTCCGATTTACCAAATTTTTTTTTTCCTTTATTGAGCAACCTCTTACATTTGCTAACTCTTTTAAGAGGTTACCAACCCAATCAGCGTGACTCGCCGACTTGTCTCTCATTAAATTATCACGTAGAGTTGGGTCTTGTTCTCATTTAAGTTACTTACCCACATTTATTTTTATTTTTATTTGCTAAATTTTTCTATTGTTTACAAAACTTTTATTTGCATTTCTTATCAACGCCTTAGGCTTACCAATTATTTTAAAAATTATCAACCTTAATTAAAATGAATTACCAACTCCCATTTGAGTTATTTACCAAGCTTACTTTTCTTTTAATTACTAATTTTTCTTATTTATAACCAAAATTGTTTACCTTTTTCAAATACACCTTAAATTTGCCTAACTCTTATATATAAAAGGGTTGATACCACGAAAAACCCTAACCCAGTACACTTGTACACATTTACCCCAAACTATTTTTTACCATAAAAAACCCAGCTGGTACACTTCGTGACAATTTTACCCCAAACATACTACAAAAACCTAAACAGACACATGTGACAATTTTACCCGAACTAATTTTTAATATTTTTTATTTTTTTGAATTTTTTGAATTTTTCTTTTCTTTTCTTTTCTTTTTTTTTTTCCTTCACCTTCAACCTCGGCGGCGTCCGGCGAGGCAACCTCGCCGGAATCGGGCGAGGCGACTCTCGCTGCGTCGGGCGAGGGCCGTCCTCGCCTCGCCGGAGTAAGGGCGACCTTCGCCCGACTCGAGCGCCAGGCGGCCCTCGCCGACGCAGGCGAGGGTCTCCTCGCCAAATCCGGCGTCGGGCAAGGACCGCCCGACGCCGCGAGGCGGCCTTCGCCAAATCAGCAGGCGGCCCTCGCCGATCCCGGCGAGTCGCCCTCGCCCGGATCCGGCGAGGCGACCTCGCTCTGCGTTGGGCGAGGCGCCTCGCTGAGTCGGGCGAGGGCCGCCCTTGCCCGGGCGGCGAGACGGCCCTCGCCCGACGCCGGCGAGGCGGCCCTCGCCGGCTTCGGCCTCAGCCGGCCGCCCCCCCAGAGCCAGGGTTTGAAGATGAAAAAAAAAAAAATAAAAATAAATAAAAAATCGAAAAAATTAAAAAAATAATATTAAAAATTTAATTCAGGGTAAAATTGTCACATATATACTGATTTGGGGTTTGTGTAAGATCGATGTAAAATTGTCACAGCAACTTGCCAAGGTGGTCAAAAAATAGTTCAGTAAAATTGTCACATGTGTACCAGATTTAGATTTTATGGTCAAAAAATAATTTGGGGTAAATATGTCACAAGTGTACCAGTTTAGGGTTTTTTGTGGTATTAACCCTATATAAAATAACTATCTTTACTTAAAGTGATCTATTGAATTCTCTCTGATTAAGTTATCAATTTATTATGGGTTAACAACTCTCATTTAAGTTAATTATCAATGTTTTTTTTAATTACACTCCAGTAAAATGCTCATATGTAATGAGTCTAAAAACACATACTGTTTACAGATTACGCACACTGTTCAGCCACCAAAGCTTGTAACTTAGTCATTAGTAGTTCAACTATCGCAGGCCCAAACTCTCATCTCATTGCAACATTTGAACGAGCATACGTTATCATCAATGAACTCATCTGCAATCTAAACAAGCAACCACAAGAGAAACAAAGGACCAAGACTGATGAAAGAAAGAACTCATTGTCGCCAATGTTCAGAAATTTCCATTTTCCGATCAGCATTACCAAGAGAATGAGGAAAAATCATCAATTGGGGATGATGTCGATTGGCTGAATCATAGAGTTTCTCGAAATTCCGGATCGAAAGCATAAAACTGTGAAATTTGGGTGGCTGCCCATAGCACCTCGTTCATGGTGTCGTCAACGTAATCCGGCACCAACGGCTTGCGGCCAAGCGGACATGTGCACTGGTCGTACGCCATCCAATGGTTGAGGCAGCCCCAATGGTATACATGACGGCAATTCTCTAGCTGCCGGATCTCGTCGTCCCCCTCGAACTCCTCCAGGCACACGGCGCAGCTCTCGGGCGAGCCAGCGAGGTCCGAGAATCTGGCCGTGGGCAGGAGGAGCTCCCGTATAAATGGAGTGGCGACAGAGCCCGATTCGGGTACGGAAGCGGGCGGGCCAGGGAAGCTCGCAATGCCGGGGCCGAGAAGGCCCAATAGGCCCGAAAAATGCAACAGAAAGGAGATGAAGGCTTTAATGGAATGGACGAGGAGTCTTGGCAAGAGAAAGTCTGTATAATTCACTGGGAAACCCATGAATTTCCTCAGAGAGAGAGAGATAGAGATGGTAAGTTGGATATATAATGCACCGGTGGGGACTGGGGAGGGAGTCTTGGCAACATGAAGTTGGAATGACCGTTGCATCGGTTGTCTTAGGTGGGAGGTTTTCCGGATAGGTTCATGTCTTGTTTTGGTGTTTAGCAGAGTGTGTTAATGGTGTTGCCATTGGCTTATTAGCTGTTCGAAGAGAAAGAACATTTGTTCTTATTAGAAGAGAGGGGGGGGGGGAGAGAGAGAGAGAGAGAGAGAGAGAGAGCATTCTGTCCATAAATAAAACGTTTGAATGGAACATACCATAGATTCTAGAAATGGAAAATTATTTTATGTCGCGCCTTAACTTCTATCAAGTTTTGAGGGAATGACACGGTCACCCTTCAATAAATAATAGACGAAACCCTAGAAAATGAAGACCGGAAAGGCTTGTGTTATTCCCAAGTTGCTAACGTCGTTATTAAAACAAAAATTCAAGAAAACGAATTGGCAAAAATCATCCTTCCTCGACGATCTCCGTATCGTACCGGCAATGCGACAATGAAATGGGGGTGTGCAGAATGACAGCTGAAAACGGTGACTAATGCCACTTTTAGGGGATCAAGTAATGGATATGCAATTTTTATGGAAGATGTGGATGAAAATCAATGAAGTGCAATATTAACATCAATATATACACCGTCAAAAATCCATGCACATATCAAAACTAAATTGCTCATGTCAAGAACCCTACGATCATAATTCGTCATGTGACGAGGCCTGGAAAACCCATATTAGCTATGGTTATTCTGCCGTGAAAGTCGCATTAGCTGTTATTAAGCCCGAAAATCATATTGGCTATGATTAAGCCCCAAAACAAAACCGATCTATGTACATGTTCATATCCCAGCATACCTCGTAATCTCATCACGCGTAGGTTGACGATGAGCATAAACAAATAACATAGTTCCACGATGCCGACAATACAAACATCACCAAAAGGAACTATTTCAGATAAGCCTTTGAGTCTGTCTTAGTTGAACTCCTAATGACTAAGTTACAAGCATTGGCGGCAGAACAGTGTGCTTGATCTTGGACAGATACATTCTCAGGAACAACATCTCGTACACCACATTGTACTAATGATACGTCGTATGCTCATTCCGCACGAGCTTTTGTCTCTCGTTTTCTTCCTTCTTGGGGTGCCGCCGAGGTAGGGTTTTCTTTATTCGTATCCGAAAGACAGGGTTCAGAACAATAGAATGCAGCCAGTTATATCCTCAAGATGATTGTATGTTGTCCAAAAGAGCTTACACCAACTCCAATGCATTCGTTCAGAGAACGGCGCACACCGAGTCGATCGTCTTCATAGACGCATGTAAGAGCAATTTTATCTAGAGATCATAGTGTCCAAGATCTCTGGGAGATGTGTGCAGTTATATCTGTGAATCCAACAATCATATGATGCCAAAAGGCTAAGGATGTTTCTCCAGCATTCTCCGAAAACAACAGAGGAAATTCGAGACGGCGATGACGAGGTCACTCGTCGGGAAACCAAAATGACAAGGAGAAGAGACGAAAAGCTCTTGTCCAGTGTGTGAGATAAGCCAGCGAGAAAGTGCCAAAAGGATTAAAGAGGCAAAAAGAAATGTTGTTCTAGAAATAAAAGGATAATCCCCCGAAAAATTTCAAACATTTTCTCGTGAGATATCAATACCCTAAATTTTATCAGTGTCTCCAATGCTCCAAACTAGTACCTTTGTCCCGGAAATAAACTTTCGTGCAACTTCAGGACAAATTTATACTACATGCATCTCCAGATGTGTAAGTTCTTTCAATAAAAATGAAAATAAAAAGGTTAAAGGAGAAAATGTTTCGACCAAAAAACCAAAAAGGAGAAAATGTACCTCGAATAAATCTTGCGGATACATGAGAGCGATGTAATTATACTCTTTACTCACATAACAATTGGTCAAACACAAATCTTTAAACTCAATGGCAATAGGTTAAATTAGGTTACGAAGCGACTTCGAAATTCGACCTATTCAAGATCACCCGTTTCTCTCAATCCGATAACAAGTTTACAGCCATTCTAACAGCTAGCCGATACCGCCTCCTGCCGTCGTTTTTTTAATTAAACTCAGATAGGATCGCAACAATACCGAATAGAGGCATGTGGCTAATGGCATTGCTCGTCCTTTGAGTATCCGAACAACCTTGATAATTACCGGATTATGCGAGCCGTGTTCCTCAGTTGGCCTCAAAAGGAATTGGAAATGGAAAACCTGACTAATCCGAAGCACGAAAACGTAGGAAAATCATCCAACAACTGAAGTTTTTGTCATCTTCCCAAAGATCAAGACATCAAAAAGGAAACTTCTTTGAGAAAAAACAGCTTTCTGGTTAATTAGATTACTACAAGCTATAGCCGGTGTCTCCATGATACTGATACTCCTCGTAAAATTCAGGGACCCCAGAAGCAGCCCAGAGCCTCTCGTTGATCGCCCCCTCCACATCGTCGGGCACCACCAGAGCCCGGCACAGCGGGCACGTCCTCCGGACGAACCCTATCCAGCGGTCCAGGCAGCCCCGGTGGAACACGTGCCGGCAGTTCAGCGGCCGCCGGATCTCGTCCTCCGCCTCGAAGTCGTGCAGGCAGACGGCGCAGGTGCTCTCGGGCGGGTCCTGGCCGCTGTCGGCGAGGTCCAAGAACCTGACCACCGGGAGGAGGTCGCGCATCATCGTCAGGGACGGCGAGACCGGGGAGCAGCGGGGCTCGGGCTCCCGGAGGGGGGTCGGGTCGGGGTCGGGGAGGTCGGGAAGGCGGAGGAGGAAGTGGATGGCGGCCCGGAGGAGGGCGAGGAGAGAGAAAGTGCGGAGGAAGAGGTTTGGAAGGAGGAGGTCGGTGTAACATACTGGGAAGCCCATGTTTTGGGGTGGGTGTGTCTGGAGTGGGAAATATATGTGCAGCTTAATATATAATAGCATGGAGTGAAAGAAAGGTGTGAATAATTTCATTTTCTTTTGAATATTTAATAAAAGGGCTAATATTATGAAAAAACTTTAAACTGATACACTTGTGATAAATTTACCATAAACTAATTTTTTGACTATCGAAAATCTCAAACTGGTACCTCCGTGGCAAATTTACTCTAAAATAATTTTTTGAACGCAAAAAACCCCAAATTGAAAAATTTACTATCCGTTAATTTCAATTAAATTGGATCAATTCCACGAAAAAACTACAAACTGGTACACTTGTGATAAACGGAGAGTAAAACCCAAAATTGGTACACCCATCAAGTGTCACGTTTCATCCAATTCAGCAATTTGACGATAAAATTTAACAAAAATTAAAGAAAGGTAAATTTGTCTCAGGTGTACCAATTTGGGGTTGGTGATCAAATAATTAGTTTTAGGTAAATTTGTCACATATATATTAATTTGAAGTTTTTCATGGTATTAATCCTTAATAAAATACTCCCATCTAAACTATTTCTTAGCCCAATGTAAGTATGGAGTGAAAATTTTCATGTGGTTTTTTTTATTAAAGCCCGTTATTAATTTTCACATTTTTCAAATCACTGCACTTATACATTCTTTTGGGATTATTTGCATCCGGAATTACATCCACCTATATGATAATGATTCTCTATCCTTATTTAATGTTACTAAATAAAATATATGAAAGAAAAAAAATTAAAAGAAAAGATCCTTCTATTCCGCTTCACTTGTTTCCCTTTCGTGACTTTGTTTGTCCTAATTCTTCTTATTAATAATCATTTTCATTTATTAAAAACCAAACTTTGATTCTCTAGATTAGCATCTAATATCGTTCGCCTTTTTTCATTTTCTTTTTAAAAATTTCTCATTTTTTTTGTCGTGGACCATTAAGACAATCTTGTTTATTCTCAACTTATTTTTCAAAAGGGCCAATAATGGACCATTTGTGTGTTTAAATATTCTAATGCATGCATTAGTCCCGACTTATTGTGGATTTTGACATAAGATCTATTGCTTAATTAGCTAGATTGATGCCCAAATTTTATTTAAAAAAGAGGCGAACCTCTCTATATAAGTCGTTTGAGCGTACATAATGATCATTCTATATAAGCTTGACGTTGCGGAAATGAGACCGCCCGCATATTTTATGTACATATAATAACTCCGTCTCCTTGGGCAGGGACATAGTTTCACATCGCCCAGGTGTGTGCAGGCGATATGGTGTATAAACCTACTTCTGCGAGGGTCGAGGCCGCTTAGGGCCTTTAGGCTACCCTTTCGGGAATTACCTTAGGCCTCCATACGCATCATCTGTATTCCCCGAGCATATGAGTTTAGTCCGATTCCGCGGAATGTGAGACCGTCTAGACCTCTTCTTCGGTATGCCTTGGACCTTTATGTACGCATCTTCTCGTGACTTTAATCTCACTCATAATTTATTTTTTTCCCTTTGTCCTTGAGTTTTTGGCTCATAAAAAATAGGAGGCCCAAAAAAAGAAAAAAATTAAATTGAAAGAAAGGGGTGTCGTGTCGTGTTCACATTACTGTTCACTCGTGTCTCATTCCCTGGGCTCTTTCTTTTCTATTTTTTGCGCTTTTACAGATGGATTATGTCGTCTTCTTGTTGTACAATTTTGCTTTTAACCTATGCTTCCATGATGCAAAATGTTATAATTTTTATGACAAACAAACGGGAAAAAAAAGATATTTTCCCCCGTAGTGTAAAATAAGAAATAACCTCAGGGAATTCTTTTCTTTTAGGGTTAATACCCCGAAAAGCCTCAAACTGATACACTTATGACAAATTTACCATCCATTAATTTCCATTAAATTTTTCTGTCAGATTACTGAGTTAGACAACACGTGACAGATAATTGATGTACCAGTTTGGGGTTTTACCCTCCATTTGTCACAAGTGTATCAGTTTGTGATTTTTCGTAATATTAATTTAATTTAACGGAAACTAACGGAGGGTAAATTTATCACAAACGTACCAGTTTATGGATTTTTAGTGGTCAAAAAATTAATTTTGGGTAAATTTGTCATAAATGTACTAGTTCAAGGTTTTTGGCGGTCAAGAAATTAGTTTAAGGTAAATTTATCACAAGTATACCGGTTTGGAATTTTTCGTGGTATTAACCATTTTTTTTACGAGAAACATATGGAATTATAGAATCTACATAGTTCGATACAATAACTACAATAATTTATATACACATTCACAGATGCAAGTAGATAAAGAAAAGAGAGAGAAAAAAAAAAAAGAAAGGGGGTGGAAATTGAATTTCTTTTTTCCATTATTTAAGCTCTAAAAACAACGTTTGGTGGATTGATTTAATTTGCTTAGATTATTATTTTTGTCCTAACTTATCAAAAAAAAAATATGATTATTTCTTTTATCTTCTTTTGCAGGCGCATGTAAGCAAAGCCGCTTTTCCACTTAATATAAGTGGGCACCCGTGATGTGCATAATCAACCTGTTTCCCCATTAATCAAAGCACTAATTACAGATTAATAACTATTATTATTAGGTCAAAGTGTTCCATTTTTAAAAAAAAATTTCCTAAGGAAAAATAATGGCGTTCGTGCACTGCATCTGGTGTTGATTGTCAAACAGTTTCCGAGCTGCTTCCGCTACATTAGCTTACATTGAAATGGGGCAGAAAATCATAGATTATTTTGGTGGACCCAATTGTTGACTAGGAGGTCACGTTTGTGTTAAAGCAAATCGATCGATTAATGGGTGCCCTCGCGACTTTAATATCACGTTTGTCAAGTCGGGGTTAGTTTCAATCGCGTCATCGATCCGATCCTTTCCAATCGAGTTTTCGAAAAGATGGCGATTGGAAAGCCCGTTTATAAGTACGGCAGAACAATCTCAATCGGGGCATGCGTTTTTCTCCGTCCCTTCCCGATCAAAGAAAAACATGTCTCTACCCTCCTCCATATAATCTCGCCGAGTGGGGTTCCGGTACGATTCTTACAAGTAGATAGATGTTACGATCATGGATATAATCGCTGCATCCCATCGGCGGCCCCTCCCGGCTTTTTCCGAACACTTCGGTTCGAGATGGACAGATCGAGTTTGGCACGCGAGAACCGGCTCTCGGAACGTAGCACGCATCTGCCAAGTTCTCTGCTGCTGTTTTGTTTCCAATTACTTTTCTAAGCAAAGCACGTTCCACTTGGCCTATACTTTATCAGAATCAAATTAAACTAATGTCTCCCTTTCCACGTACGATCATCAATGGTTCTTCCTACAACAAAAGAAGAAGAAGAGCCCGACCTTGTCCCTCCATTTACGACCTCATGTTCGTTCTAACACAGCCCATCTTGTCAGAGCTTGTCTCTGACTCACGCAGCCATGCTACTGACAACAGCAAACATTGCTAGATCTTCATCCAGAAAACGTTGTTAACGACAGCATTAGTGCGTGTACTCTTGTCCCCTAATGAAGCATTTAACAAGAAGAATGCGATTCCCAGAGAAGCCCAAACAGCTCATTGCTTTGGTAGCTTTTGCTTCATCTCCACGTTTTGATGAACAGAAGGACACATGTGTCATTCGTATTTTCATCGCAACTGTTGGGAAAATTCATAAATTATTTGCCCCAAACGAGTCGCAACAAGCGAGCAGACACCGTGATCTTCTTCTGATTGATCTTGCGTTAGGGACTTATTGTTTGGCTCCTCGTTTGGAACCTATCTTGTGTCATGGCCATGAGACCCGAGCATCATCTCATGCATCTCCCCATCGATTTTCAAATCGATATCACCCCCCAAGAAAGATGCATTTTGATTGAGAATGATGGCTTCTTCTGGTTGTTCATACGAAAAAAAAAAGTTATAATAACTCTCCTTCGAAACTCTGTCAACCAATTATTTTCTTCTGATGTGACTAGAAGGAATCTAGACAATTTCCAATATGAACAATATAGTTTGCGTTGGGACATCGATACATTCATCAAAATGCAGTTCTTGGAGAGGTCCAACAAAAGGGCGTTCTCAAAGCTAACAAAGGGAAAGACGAACCATGTTCGTGATGCGAATTCAGATGCATCAGCCGCTTCGCGAAACCCCGATATACAGTTTTGCCCGTATTTTACTTGATCCGTGAGATTAATCTAATTCAGGCGGGCTTACCCATCGCGAAAAGTATAATAAAATTGCATATTTTAAGGGGAGGAAAATGTCATTTGAGATACTTAGAAGTGCCAACCTTACTAATTACCATCGACAACAAAAGCCTAATGTAGGGTTCTGCAGTCTAAAAAGAAGTTCCTACGCCCTTTGAGTTTGATTTAGCATGTTGCCAGCATCTAAAGTGTCTTACCTATCTGTCCTAGCAACTTGTTACTTACACGTGTGTAACAAATATTTTATGCCCTTTTCCGGTTAAATTTTTTTTAAAAGACCCTATTTCTTCGGTAACTTATAATCCGTCGATTTAAACTTGATTGACTTGTTCTATCGCATCGGTGATTTAATAGATGCATGAAGTACTAATCAAGTCCTATACTGCAATTTTTATATGGTAGACAAAGTCACAGAGGTGGGATCACTTTGGCATGTGGGATGCCGGTGGCTTTGTACCTAACCAATTTGAGAGGCCCACCAAAGCTGCATAAATTTAGTCCGACTCATTTAAGGTCTATAAAGATTAGCCTAATTAATTCGGTAATTAGCCTTTGTGACTTTTTACATACTTTCCATCTTTTTTCACATAATTTACTTTCATACATGATGTCAAAACACCTAACGAGTGAGCTAAGGGTGAACATGGTTTCTAGATAAAATCTAGAACCTGAGAACCTGATCAGGTGGGAAAATGAGAACCTGATCAGTGCAAATATGTAGGTTATAGGTTCTAAAAATTAGGGAATCTGTTTCGACGGGTAAATTTCAGGTTCTAGATAGGTGGAACCTGGAACATAAAATCTTAAACAAGTTTTTTGTGTTTT